GGGCATAGATTACTTACGAAGTGCTGGGCACTGTGTTCCATGTGTGGAACACAATGGTGATTAAGTGGAATAGGCCACTGGCTTAATTTGAACAGTATCTGACAGAAGGTTCTCTCAGCTACAGAAAGCGCCTTTACAATTGGATTTATCCCTTTGGTTAATGAACTACTCTTTTAAATACAGCTATTTCTCCAGGGTTAATATATTAGGTTGTCATTAATCACTCACATTTTATTATAAATTAGTTTGAGATTCCAATGACAGCTAATGGATTAGCTGCCTTGAGGGAATAACAGTTATGATGGATGGGGAACAGTGGGGGGAGAAGACTTTGTAGCACCGTGTATTGCCACGGAAAGACCAGTTTGGTTTGGGTTGGAGAGCAGGAGCGTGAGCACACAGGGCCTGTAGGTGTTGGGAGGAATGGATACAGGACGGAGAAAGCAGAAATCAAGATGGGGCATGATCACGGCAGCCTTTTCTCTTCGGTCTTTTCCAGAATTAGCTTTCATAGTATTTCTTTTGCCCATTTTCTGAGTTGTGCAAATAGTGGACCACAAAGGAGTGTTCAGAAACTGAAGGGGGGGGCGTTATGAAATGCTTGTACTCTGCCACTAATATATGGAGTCTGAATGTGCTCGGGACATGTCCAGCGTGCTCCAAGAGCCTCGGGAGCATGTCTCCCTATGGACCACAGAGTTGCTTCAATGGCTGTTCTTACCACTTCATATGTGACCCACTAACAGTGGCTCTTTAACCAGAGAGAGTGACCTTATTTCCCCGAGGGAGTGCAGGTATTTGCTTAAGGCTGTCATTGGTCCTGGGCTCCCTGGAAGACCCTGTAAACGGGCACATGCCACTTACTCCAAAACCTCAGAAGAAGCTCTCTCTGTCATCCACAGCATTTATTCATCATGCACTGTGGGTCAAGGCAGAAGAAAGAATTTTGCACGCAGTGTCATCTCGAATCCTGTAGATAGTTACATGAGGTGGGGGCTACTTTTTTTTCAAATTACGTCTGATAAATTGGAGGGTTCGTTAGGGTTACATTCAGCTATGGCAAATGGGAAATGTGGCATGTATCTCAAACGTAAGTTTTTAAAATATTTCTCACGCCATGGAAGGAAAAGGGAGGCAGTTAAGGCCTGACATGGTGGGCTGTGTGGCTGTAAGATGGCTGTGTGGCTGGTCTGCCGCTGGTATGGCACCAGCATGATAGGAAGAGGAAAGACATCGCTCTCATCCAGAAGCGGTTTAGCCCCCAGAGGACATTTGACAATATCTGGAGGCAGTTTTGGTTGTCACAACTTGTTGCCATTGACGTCCAGTATTTAGAACACCCTACAACCTGCAGGACAGCTCCCTCGAGAATTATCTGGCCCAACAAAATGTCAGCAGTGATAAAGCTGAGAAACCTTGGACCTGCAGACAGGAAGCAACGTCAGCCAGGTCGGCCCTCATTCGTGGACATGGAGCAAGGCCTTTGCTGCGTGTCATTGTCCGGAACCCCACCTCATAGCCACTCTATCAGCGAAGGAATTTGGCTGATGCCGCTATTTTTGTTGCATCCATTGCCATCCATTGCCATCATGCGCAGAATTGGGGTCCTAATAGTAAGTCAAAGAATGGAGGATGGACGTTGGTTAGACATTAGGCAATATTTGCTTCAGGAAGGCAAATACTCTGCTCAAGGTCACAGAGGTTGTGTAGGTTACCTCCTGCTCCAGCCTCTTCCATGGACGAAGGAGGCCCAGTCACCACATGCAGCCTGTTTCCTGGTGTCAGTGTGACTCAGAGTAGAAATGCTCACATTGGTTATGGAAAACTCTGGAGTGTTGGCCGACAAGCAGCCTGGGAAATATGTCCTATAATATGCGGTCTGTTATCTGATCCACACTGCTCTCTCAGTGTTTTTGGTGGGACTTGCCTTTCCTTCTTGGCCACGTGACCCTGGGTAAATGATGTCAGACCGGCCTCGCCCATACTTCTGTCCTTGAGGTCACCCAACTGTTGGTGCTTCATGTTTCCCATTCTGAAAAATTTGCAAAGTGATATCATCATCCTTTGCATGAAGGGTGCGCTATTAGGGTTCATTCATGCAGATGAATGTGCTTTAAGTAAATCAAACAGCAAGATGTTTCACACAAGGGACTTATGGTGGCTTATGCCACCATTGGGAGGGATGGGAAATGCAGGTCAGGGTATGCCAATGCCCTCCTGAGAAGGAGTCTTCTCAGGAGAATCCCTGGAAGTTTCTGGCAAAGCATGAGCCAGGCTGTGCCTGCCTGTATCTACGGACAGCAACTGGATAAATGGCATCGCTTCCTTTCCTACTACTCGGGTCTTCTACGGGTGTTTCTCACTGGCAGAGTCTGATCTGGAGTTGTGCCCCAGGGGATTTTGGGAGATATAATTCTGAAACTTCTCAGGGGAGAATGTAGAATGGGGTGGGGTGATAATGGAATTTCCTGAATAGACTGGCATAGAGAGCATTTGAGTTTGAATGAGTCACCTGTGCGCATGCGTGCACACACACACACACACACACACACACACACACACACACACTTGCACATAGACCCACAAGACATTTTGGAAGAAGAGCTTGCTGTATTCAGATGTTTGCAATGTTGCCACTAGTGTTACTACCTTATTCTATCTCTGTTTCTTTGTTCCATGAATAGGGCTTCTTGTTTCTCTGCTCTCTCTTCAAGTCATGGTGATGCTAAATAAGTAATACACTCGACTTCAATAATCTGCACATACATACAGAGAGTAATATATTCTGTGAGGCTCCACAGCACAGTGGGGTCCCAGAGCATTCGGCTTGCACAACAATGCATCATTCGCTATCATGCTCGGGAAAGACCAGTGTTTAGAATATAGCTGTGGATGATTCACCTTGTATATTTCATTAGTTTGGGAGTGACTATCTGGAGTGCTATATTTGCTGTCATTATGCGTGTGACTTGTGCTTAGCTGATAAAATACAGTGAGGAATTAAATACAATGCAAGAAATAATAGAACCATCTCAACAAAGTAGACCTATAGACATGATCTATTGTTCAGTGTTGGGAGAGAGTCATAACCTCTAGTTATCTGCTATCTGGGGCACATCAGGCTTTTAGTGTAACTCATGGGGTTTTGAAGGCAAAATTTGATCTGTGCTATATTTGAGTCTCTGGAACAGCAAAACCCATTATGACTGTGTCTTACGGCACTTGTAAAATCCTCTCTAAGTCTTGAGTTTCAGGATTCTGTGGATACTTAATATTTGAATTATTTCAAAGGAAGATAAGGAAAACATTTCATCTATTTATTTCTGGAGTGAGGAAAATCGAAAGTGACTAACAGAAAAACTCGTTACCAAGAGCAGTGGCAAAGGTCACTGGTTTTGCTTTGCTGCTTTGCGGGAACAAAATCACTGTGTTCGAAGTCGCCTGGGGTCTTATGTCGGAACTTCTCAAGGCAGAACTGGAGATGAGGATCCACATGCAAGTGTTTCCTGCAATGAGCGCTCCCAAAATAAACTGGCAAGGGAAAGGAGAAAGCCAGCTAGGGAAGGGCGAGAAATGGGCAAGGCGCAATCTCAGGAGACGGTTCAGACTAGGCCTGATCCTGCAGGGACTCTGGAATGCAGCTAATCCTGAGCTCGCTCTGAACTGAAGCAAAGTATCTGGGCCTTTCCAGTCCTGCTGTAGCCCAGTCCGTGACTGAGGACTGCGGGGCTAGGGGGTCACTGTGTCTGCATGCAGGTCAGGCACCCGAGGGGCGCTAGGCAGGCCAGCGAAGACTCGCAGGGGCTGGTCATTAGAAAAGGCAGAACACAGATGCTGGGAAGGGGTGTGTGGAAACGATCAAACCGACCCCAGAGGGGTGGGCAGAGTCCCACCATGCTCTTACTCTCAGCAAGCTGCTGTATGGATGTCGCCAGACCCAGACTCTGGGCAGAAGAAAGAGAAATTTTCATATGGAACTGTAAAGTTTCTCTAGAGCAAGGCTTGGCAAAGCTTTCCTCCGAAGGGGCAGAGAGTCACTATTTGTGGGCCACAGGGTTTCTGTCCCAAGGACTCAGCTCCTCAGCTGGTGGGTACAAAAGGACCCATCGTTTCCATGTGAACGAGAGGCATCATCGTGCTCCAAATAAAACTTTACATATAAAAGCAGATGGGGGCAAGGGAGTGGGATTCGCGCTCCTGGTCCCTAGCGGGGGCCATTGCTCCTGTGTTCATTCCGGGCGTGGTGCGATCGGTGTGTCGCCTTGGAAAGGCCGGCCACGGCAGGCCGTCAGTGAGTGTGGACTCAGGCTGTCTGCCCCCAGCCTCCCTGGCGGGCTGGTCATCGTGCACAACGGGGCAGGCATAACCTTGGTAGAAGATCCTGACTCAAAATATTTAGTTCTCTTGAACTGCAAAATAAGCTACAGACGCATAGGCCTGCCCTTGGCGATTTGCTCTGGACTTGTTTGCCTGTGTTGTTCCCTGCTCTCCGCCCCACGTGCCGCCTGGTCTGGCCTCAGCACACCACTGCCCATGTCCCTGATGTGCGCCGTGGGCCCTCGCTCCCAGTTTTTGCCCCTGCCGTTCCCTCCCTGGCGTGTTGCTGTGCTCAGCTCTGCGTTAAGGAACCCGATCCAAGCTCCGAGAGCCAGCGTGGCCGTTCCCCGCCGGGAAGCAGCGTGCCAGCGGCATGTTGCTTAACAGTCTCATCCATTTCTAGAACCTAGAACCCTTGCAGCAGATACAACGGTATAAACCTACTTTTACCTCAGTAAACATAATCTGAAAAGGAAAAAAATCTCTTATTTATTTGGTACTGTCTAGTTTGATGCTATATTCTCTGTAGATTTAGTATATTGAGAGCAGGGATTAAGGTAAGATTTTCTTTCTTGCCCTTCGCAGCAGGAAACAGTTTTCAGGCGAAGATTTCTACATCCTGTGGTTCTTAAGGACGTAAGTGCTGAAACTCTAACATCATTTTTTCTTTTTCCATTTTATAGGCGAGAGCTGTTTTAGCAAAAGTTGGCTATCCTGACTTTATACTGAATGATACTCATATTAATGAAGACCTTAAGGCAGTAAGTACTAAATTTACTGTATTCCCTCCCCCCTGGCAACTTTTACTGGCTTTGTGCCTTTCTGCTAACCTAGGTCCAAGCATTTAAACCTGGTGGTGCCAGAAGGCACCAACTTTTGATTCATTCCCTGGCTGCATTCGAGCCTCACTCTGCCAGGCGTATCACAAGATTTAGGGCAGATTCAAAATAAAGGAAGTATGAGAAAGAAGCAGAGTGGAGCGGGTATCATAAAGAAAATGGGCTTGGATTCGATCTAATTGGATCATAAAGAATTAAACAAATTGAGTATTTTACAATTAGTGGGCATGTTCTCATGGTGACGGCATGATGTTTGTTGTTAAACAATCTTTACGTGCTTCATATTAAAGGACTAGTAATAAATCTGCCCGCTGGGAGTTAACTTCATTAAACTTTATGAGTGTTTTGGCAAATTAAGTGCATATACTATGCCTCTATAATTTATTGTGAATTGGATGGTATATTTGGAGTTACTGAAGGAGAAATAGTCATAATTCTTTTTTACTCCAATATCGTAGGGCTTGTATTTTCCAGTAGATATATTTATTACAGACCTTTCTAATCACAACCACGGTTATTTCCTTTCCTGCAAATAGCTCTTATCAAGAACTTTTCTTCCCTCCTTCCCCCACTGTTTTCACCATTCACTAGATTTTCTTGAAAAAGTTGTTTTTGAGAGTGCTGTAAATGATGGTGGTTCTGAGGTGTGGCTTTTCCTGGAATTGTGGTTTGACAGGTTGCATATCTGAAAGCATCAGCATTTTTCTATCACTAGATGAACATCAGAATTTTACAAGATCATTCTAAAGTGAGGGAAAGCTTGAGTTAGTGAACATCTCCACTGGACTCCTGGATACAGTCCTTCCAAAGTAGGGAGCCGGTTGCTGTGGAGGAAAATTATGATTTTTTCTAGTTCCCCCGAACTCAGACAGCCCAGCTTATTGTACATTTTTTTAAAGATTTATTTATTTGTGCATACAGAACTGGGGTACAGGCCAGAGACTCAGGGGCGGTGAGAGGCTTCACCAGAGACAGAGCGGGGAACAGTACAGGCAGATCGATGAAGTACACTGCTGAGGGGAGCAGCGGGCGGGCCAGGAGAGGTCTGCCACGCCATGTGGTCACCTCTGGGGCAGGCGGGGATCGAACTCATGCGGAAGCGGCTTTAGATTCTCAGTGCTGTGCTTTAACCCGCTGCGCCACCAGGGAGGGCCCTGTACATGGTTTTGATGCTGAGAAAAAGCTTGCTCTCATTAAGAAAGTTAAAAACACTGGAGCAGGGCCACTGTGATGTTGATGGTGCTAATCTCCATTTTGCAGAAAAGGACACGGAGATTTAAAGAAGTTAGGTGATTTCTCTGTGCCACATAGTGTCAGAGTTCAGGAATCTCTGTCATCAGAAATGGGGTTCTGCAGGTCCTTGTCAGGCAGCTGGGTGGAGGAACAGAGGCATGAGCTTAAGAACTCACTTAGATCTGGTTGGGAAGGAGGAAAAGAAGAGGCGGGCTCATATTCTCAAGAGCTTAAGAGCACAGGCCTTGGAGTAATTCTGTCTCTTTCTTTTACAAGTCGTTTGATCATATGCAGGTCATTTACCCTCAGGTAGCTTCCCTTTAAGTTATGTGGAGCATGGAGATAATAATCAGTGAGTCTTAGTGTTTCTGGGGAGATTAAATGTGATGAGAGAAATGTAAAAACATCTCTCATTGTGTGTGGCACCGAGCTAGACTTCCTATAGGTGGTAGTTATTTGTCAGCCAGTATGAGAGCTATTCATGCAACAAAGAGCATCACCAGAGCACAAAGTACCTTTGCAGGAGGTCCTGGGTTGATCGCATGCAAGTCATGGATACAGACAAGAAGGTCAGAGTTCCGTTTTGGTGTACTTCCGCAGTAACGGACACGGACCAGGGGGTCAAAGTGTGTGAACCGAAGCCCCCGGTCTTACATGTACTAACTGTGTGACTTCGGCTAGGTTGTGTGACGTCTCTGTGTCTCAGTTCCTCATCTGCAACATGGAGATAATCATTTCGCTTTCTTTAGGGTTGCTGAGAGGAACAGGAAAGTTCATATCTTTAAAGTATTTGGGAGTGACCCTCTCACCCACCAAGCACAATGTAGGTATTAGTTATGCCACCTTCAATTGGCACTTGTAATAGTAAATTTTACTTGGGTTTGGAGAAGGCCTCAGAAGTTAACTCGTGCAGTATCCAGGTCCCTCAAATTGATTTAAAAAGCTCCACAGATGGACTGTCTCAAGCTTTTATCACAGAAGGCAGTGTTCGGGGCTCACAGTACTTAGTTGATCAGGTTTTGTGGGCAGTCTGCTGCTGTCTAAAGAAAGTTGCTGAAAATTTAAGGACTCACTGAATGAACCTGGATGCCAGACAGGATCTGATGTTGGGTACATTTCCTCATTTCTCCAGGGCCTGAATGCAAGCCATTAGACTCCAACATTTTCAAGCACTTTGGTGCAGAGGCAGCTTTCATCTGACTCATTGCCCAAACAGGCACAGCGACACCCGAGAGCGTCTAACAGTTTAAAAGACAGATGACGGGAAAAATCCAAATACACTGAAATCAAAATGCATGTGTGTTCTGAAACCGATAGAGAAAGCGAATAAAACCCAGCCTGAAAATAGGTGAAGGATGCTTGACGCGATAGGTAGCGGGAGTGTCATGGAGGTTAATAGCGACAGGACGAAAGCATTGCTGATACACAATGGGGCTGCTTTCAGTTTTGAAAAATGTAGATAAAACCTGCTAGAGGGTCTCTGAGAAATTTCTGAGGTGCTAGAGCATGAGAGGCTGTAATGCATGAAAACCAGCTTACTTTATTTGACTTAGATGAAGATATGATTCATCAGGCAGACGCAGGAAGAGAGAGATTAGGTAATGGAGCACATGAAGGCCAAGGAGAAAGGTTGAAAACTGAAGTTGGGCTTATGTGGTGATAAGAGCACGTGGAAAAGAACTTAGAGGCAAATGTAAAGAATTGGGGGAAAGCTTTCCCTCCTTCCTCCCCCCCCCCCTGCCTTTGATCCCATTCCCCACTCCCCTTTTATCTAATGTCTCTGGTATATGGTTGTGCCCTGCCTCAGTCACTCCCCCCCCTGCCCAGACGACACAGTAAGCTGAGATACCCAGCAAAATATGTCTGAACAACAGTCTTTCTGTAGTCTCAGAAAAGAGTCAGGAGAAAGGCACTGTCCTTCACACCAACCACTGGAAGCATGCAGGAAAGCCCACTACTTAGTTTGGAAAGGTAGGCATCAGTCGATTTCAAATAAACCTTAAAAAAGTGTTCCTTCCTCTCCTGCATTGCTGGTGGGAATGCAAACTAGTACAACCACTATGGAAAACTGTTTGGAGGTTCCTCAAACTGCTAAACATGGAGCTTCCCT